CACGCACGACACGACACGACACACACACACACACGACACACACGCACACACACACACACACACACACACACACACACACACACACACACACACACACGATGATAGACGTGAACAAAGCTTCCTTGTTTTGTGGATAACATCTGGATTATATCTGCAGTAAATAGCCTAGCGTGTCAAAATGAGCCTCATGTTTACAACCTGTAATGTTGATTGCTTATTAAATGAAAACTGTGTCATATTTGTACATGGCACTGATGTGCTTTCACCTAATTTTTCAATGTTTCTATGCCTTTACATTTTCAGTTATTTAATTTTATAAATAATCTGCATCATCTAATCAATGGCGGTATTTCGATTTCCTCGTGATAACGTTATGAATTGAATATCTTAATCATGTAGCGTAAAGCGCAGAAAACCGTGACCGCGGAAATAACAAACCTATACTAAATAAGCAGAGACTTCCACGTGATTCATGAGAGCGCTGCTTTTATTCACAATAATGAGAAATCCAGAAAAGACGCGTATGTTTTCAGTCGGTCGACGAACTAACGGGGTTTTGGCTTCACGTTACGGCGATGCGTGGAATGTGATAAAGATGCCAAGCATTTTCACCTCCCGGAGGCCAACACGAAAAACTGATGCGTCAGTCTCTCCCGCTAGCCTCGTCTAAACTACGGCAACAAAGCGCGAATTCAACACCGCTCGCCGTGGGGGCGCCAGTGTCGCTAGACGCATCACGAGATGTTCCTGATCGGTAGCCAAACAGCTGGGGGTTTGAACCCAGGGTGACCGACCATTCCCCGCCACAACTACAGCTGCTGCTGCTGCTGCTGCTGCTGTTGCTAACGCTGCCACGTGGAGGTCCATTTCGTGAATCAGCAAGTGGTTTCCAGCGTCATTACGAGACGGATGCATAGGCGGAAACGGATGTTTTGTTCTCTGTAACTGCCCTTCTGGTACAACGCAGCGAGCTTTCCCCGAGTCAATATAGTTTCTCGTCTAATTAGGGTGAGAGATAATCAACGCGAAGCTGCGTCTGGTGCGATTTTATTTCTCCTAATTTTACTATTCAACGACGTATATCTATAATTTTTTCGAATGCGTTCTGCCACAGGCGGGAATCGTCGCAGTATCAATTATACAATCACCAATTATTAATTATGATTAATTAACATCATTAACAATTAAATTATTATAATTAAACATTATTATCAGTAGTGAGTGGTGCACGCTCGCTAATTGCTCTAACTAACACGACGTAAGATCACGAACTTCGTCGGCGAGAAAATCCTAATCATCCCAGATTAGTCGGCTCCGTGTACATACGCATTCATCGGGATGATGTCAGGCGACCAGCTGATGCGCAATACGGTTCGAGTTGAACTATATCACCGCGGTGTAACCGCTGATTGACGGGCCTGCATGCGATGAAGACCTCGTATTTTCTCGGCGATGTATCTAGAGCAGATTTATAAACGGGAACGCGAGTTGGAGTCGGAGGCTGGAGCACAGCCAAGGCGTCACGTGCGTGTGTGTTTATTAGGCAAGGTCGCTGGCGCATGAGGGCGCAGTGTGCGTAATGAAACCCACTGGTCTTTACATCTACTAACAGTATATAGAGATCAGTGACGCAGCCCTAGCTAGATCGAGTGGAAATCGTATCTACGGAGTTTTTCACTGACTGCTCGATAACCCACGTCTAGCTGAATGATGTAGCTAATAATACTTTGTCGCGTGTAAGGATACACTGTGGCTGACGGGCGGGCGGATACACATCCGGTCTGTTTAATCACGCGCACGTACGCACGCACTCGCGCATGCACGCACAAATCCTACACACACGCATGCACTCGCGCACGCAGCACTCAGACAAACAAAGTCTATAACACAACTTAAAAGGAAGCGCAAGCGACGTTTTCAACACTCATGTATCACGCCACGCAATCTTGTACCATGTCTGACCCATGTCTCTCTGGTTTACCATACGTAATCACGTCACGTTCATCCGGACAATTTTTCAGATACGAGAATGAGATACGCCACCGCACGAAAAACAACAGCACCAGCGAGAGTGACGGCAGTGATGACGTTGCTGCTGATAGCATTAATAGCGACAACGAGGACAACGTGACACAGCTAAACTGCTCATGTTCCATCACGTGTAAGGCTAATACATTGATATTGCTACCGAAATGAGTATAGTTCATATATTTTCAACGAGTATGCCACATTAAATAAATTGTTTAGTAACCAAGCTTCAACTGCCGTAAGAGTTTCTTCTGGGATAAAAAAAAAATAGACTACCTTACCTACAACCTACAACACCATACAGTTTTTGCAGTCACTAGTAGAGAATCAAGGCAATCAATACACGCACAACATATTGTTACTTGAGGTGACAAGTGTGGCAAAACACCATCGTGGTCATCGAAGTCTGCCACTCCTGACGAGATACGCGACCGTTTCTTAGCGCTAGCGTCTAGCTAGAGTAAAGCCATTCACTGCTCTTACCTTCGCGCAGGGAACTGTAGGCAGCCACACGTCTTCATCGGCTGCACCGGCTCCAGGGAGACGTCTTACACGACGAGTCTGAACGAGGCGCTGTGGCTGCTCGACTTTGGAGGAGCCGTGAAGGACATCCGACGCTTCTACTACGTCTGCAAAGTGCTCTACTACCTCATCACGGAGAAGCTGTCGTCGCTGAGCGGGTCCGCACAGAAGACGCTGTTTAAGACGATACAGGAGGTGCTAAATCAAGGTGAGCAGAAACGAGATTCGGAAATGTAGGCTATGAGCATACTAGCGGTGCCATCGCTAGTATAAATGTTTCTACACGATTATAAGTATGTTTGTACTAATGATTTACGTTTAATGTTGTTTAAATTTATGTTTATTCGTTGCTAATTGTTAAAAAAATTAAATTACGTTTAAATGCAACTTATGCATAAGATTGATTTATATTAAACATTAACTTGTTTAATAATGTTTAATAATGTTTTGTTAATAATGTGTAGTATATGATTAAATGTTAATGTATAAATGTAAACGCTGCAATGCGTAGCAGAAATGTTGCATCCTGAATCGTGTTTGCGTGAGCGACGGAATTTGCTTTTGCGCTGCATTTCACCGAGCCATTATTTTGTTTATTCAGTTCGTGTACTGTTTGTGTCCGATTTCAAACAGCTTCATCGTAAGAGTGTTTTAGTTTAGTTTCGCGTATCAGATATCCGCTCAAATGAGTCCAAAACCTATATATCTGCGATGTGAGGTTGGACGTTGGCATGGTTAACACACGATGATAGACCTAACGAAGTGGATTTGGTTTCTATCCTAGTGGTTCAGACCAAACAGAACACGGGCACGTTAAAACTTCTAATGGTAGAGCTCAGCATTGCCATGAAAGAGTGCCTAGGTGGTCGTCACATCGGCTGCTCGGAATTGTGGAGGAATCACAACGAGACTGTTCACAGGTGGCAGCACAAGTTAACGATGCACACGATTCTGGATGAGATCAAGCACGTGAGTTCATAGGATTGATTACTCGCTGCTTGGCCCAACCCCCGCGCCTAGCCAATACATAGAAACAATAAACCGTCGAATTTTAAACCATCAAACTCTTCCATGAAAAAGTAGGTTATAAAGTATTTATTCATTAGACTCGCCCTCTCCCTCTCCCTTTTTCTCTGCCTCTCCATTTCCCTCTACCTCTCCCTCTCCGTCTACGCCACCGTCTCCCTCTCATTCTCCCTTCCCTTTCTCTCTCCCTCTCCCTCTCCTTCTCTGCCCCTGTCTCTTCCTCTCTCTCTCTCTCTCTCTCTCTCTCTCTCTCTCTCTCTCTCTCTCTCTCTCTCTCTCTCTCTCTCTCTCTCTCTCTCTCTCTCCCATGCATCACCTACCTCTCCCTATCCCCCTCTCTCACTCTGCTCTCACTCTCACCCCTGCAGCGGCAGACTGACGACGACGACGAGCGGTCGCTGAAGCTGCAGGACCTTCCCGACGACTGCATCCGCTCGATCCTCCGTCGCCTTAGCAACCACGAGGACGTACTGAACACCAGCAAGGCGCTCATGCTGTTCGCCGGGGAGCAGGCGCAGCTGCTGTTCGAGGGCCAGCACCTCTGGCGCGAGCTGTGTATGTTCCACTTCACCGACGAGCAGACGAACGACGTTCGAGCCAAGCAGAAGGATCCCGACAACTGGCAGACGATCTACTACCGACTCAAACGGTAGGTCAGGAAAAGCTAGTTTCGCTCGCCTCGTGAAAGCGGAGGGGGGGATAGTCTGTACTTTTTTTCTACGTTTCACTCACTATCTGATAAGAGAGAAGGAGGTCTGTACTGCTAGTTTTACACCGTGTGATGAGGGGGGAGACTGTACCTTTAGTTTAACTCCTTGATTATATATATATATATATATATATCCTATATATTAATTATAATAATATAAACGCCGCGTTCCGCTGCATGCATGCGTGCGTGTGCGCTGCGCTTTCCGTTGTGTGCGCGTGCGTTACATTGCGTGCTCCTGTGGGTATTACGCGCTGCCGCTCACTCCATGCCTATTGTAACTGTAAACCTGTACTCCTGTAAACGACAGATATAAAAATAAATAACATGATAACGCAATATTGGCGTCTCTGCTCCAGGTATCACGGTCAGAAAGAGATCTACGCTGAGATGCTCTATATCTGTAATACCTGCCGATGCCTATTCTGGCAGGTAAGGTATTTCCAACTGCTGAGCTTGTATTATGCTGAAAAATTATCAAGTATTAAGAGAATGAGCTTGAATTAAAAAAGAAACCGATAAATGGTGGCGCGTTAGGATATGAGATCGGCATTTACTTGATTTTATTATTAGCCAGATTTTTTTTTTACAATTGCGGCGTGTTTAGTGAATTACACGTGATAGGTCGCCACAAATTTCGATCGCGTGTTAGCGCTGCTTCACATTATCGTGCCCATGATGTGCAAAATACTTCCGACTTTGTCATGTTTTTGTGTGTGTGACGTCACTGTTTTTTCCTTCTTCCGCGCAGTCGATTGGTCACCCGTGCCTTCGCAGCAGCGATGAGGCACGTAGGACGCCACTAACACCCCAGCAGTTTCTGCAGCTGTTCGCTGTCTAAACCACCCAGGCGACAGTGGAAATCTGTACTGCACCATCACCATTATCATTTTATACTCGTGACGGACACGCGTGATTCCGCCCGAACGCTCTCATCTTGTACAAACGAGGAGTATGGTTTGCAGCATGTTCTGCTCGATGTAAAGTTCAAATTTGTAAATACGTTGCAGTTGTCACATATTATATTAGGAGTAACATGATAATATCATAATATATTTTGTTGCTGTTGTTTATATATGTATAGTAACGTTTGTACATATAGGTTTTTTATATGCCCATGAATTTTTTACACTTTTATATGTATGCACGCGTTTGAGTTTTTTTTAATAATCGCATTCGCACAGTGTCTGAGTGTTGTGTTAAACTGCTAAAAAGGCTTTACATCTCAATAAGCTTGTCATTGAGTTATTATTTATAATGAATATTTTGGCTTCGTTGACTTCATGATTTGTATACAATAAGGCCAAATCATTGGAGGTCACCCTGTTTAGCTAAGCTACGCGACAATTAGCGGTGTTTTTGATGCTATAAAGTTCGTACACATAAATTATAGCTATGTTGGGTTGTCACACGATTTGTTCGGAGTAGTGTACGGTTAATACTGTCTAAATCTTGACCTCACAAATACACATGTTGGTTGATTCCCGTTGTTAATTTAGGTTATTGATATATTTTACAGCGTCTAATGTTTTAATATGTATGCGTGCCCATGCGAGGCTGCGTGGGTGCTTGCGAGAGCGTGCGCGCGCGTTTGTGTAGCCGTATATTCTATACGGTGTTTGTATATACGTAATATATAAGCCGTGTCATATATGATAAATGTTCTTCAAAGTGTACAAGAATGCTATAGTGCGTAAGGCTATTGTAGGCAAGGCCCGTGTGAGCGAGGTCCATATATGACTGGTTTTTACTGTAATGCCACATTTCTATGTAATGTATCCCACTATCCCAGTATAGACTATGTCGTTATTAATTACTGGTTTCACTCTATGTTTACTTGGTTACTTTATTTTGTTGTTCCTATTATAATTATTTATTATTATTGTGATGTTCTATTTGTTCCAAATTGCAAGAATAGACCATTTACTTCAGGAGGTCTCGGTAAGGCATATATGATTAAAGCCATGAAGAGATTGAGATCGAAATATATGAAAGCAAGAGAATGAGTGTCAAATTACTGACGTCGAAAAAATGAAAAGTTCGGCATAGAACGATATAGACGTATGCATATCCTTACATTTAGGTCTACCTACATGCGCTACCATGCGCGCGTGTGCTATCGTCTCAACATGCACAGGTCTCCCTTGTGAGAAATAAATAAAAGAGTTGAAATAGTTCGTCGTCTATCTTTACTCTGTAAGTTTCCTATGTAGCATGTTCACACATTTGCAGCATTGACTGGGTCAGGTTTTAGCGTCGACAGTAATGAATCAGTGTGCGCGTCTGTTACTTACGTGACGTTGGAGATTGTTGCGGTGCTGTTGATGTAGTTTCTGCTGCTGTATATATATATAGTTTCTACTGTGTATGCGGTGCTATCTACCTATACCACGGCCATGCTGCTTATTTACTCTGGAGTTTGTATTTTTCCGGCGTACGCACAGGCACTGGCTTGATGTATATTCGATGTATACCCATGTTCCTGTACAAAACAGTTCAGAAACCTATTATATATATATGCATTGCGTCTACTGTGAATAAAAATGTATGTAAATTTTACTACGGTTGAGTGTTGGCTGTCATTCATTTGTACTGACTTTGATTTTAACACATAACGAACACATAGGACAAGTGGTTATGTTACTTAGGGGCATAGAATCGACGACTTCAGCTAGAATCAAGCCAGTGTGACTCAATATGTATAGCGTCACTTATCAAATACGATACACGTGAAAAGGTATGCGTGTACGATTGGCCATCGTATTCAGAAATATTTTTTATACCACGGTAATAGTACACCCCCTTTGTCAGCCAATCACAAGCCGAAAAAGCAATAAAGTGAATTGTAAATGGGCAGGGGCATGCCCGAAAGAGAGTTGCAAAGTAATATCCGCTCTAAATAATTCACTTTCGCTGCTGGATCACGCCACAATCCTTTAAACTATGCCTAAGTACATGGGGATCATGGACGGCGCTGGCGTCGCTGGTCGCGTTGTCAGCCAAGATCATTTTTTTCGCCCAAACATAATGATACGCGTTCAAAATGGGCAGGGGCATGCCCGAAAGAGAGTTGCAAAGTAATATCCGCTCTAAATAATTCACTTTCGCCGCAGCATCACGCCACAATCCTTTCCCTATATATGTACATACGGACGGCGTCGCTGGTCGCATTGTCAGCCAAGATCATTTCTTTCGCCCAAACTTATGCGCTTAAGATGGGCAGAGACATGCCCAGGAAAGATTTGCATAGTAAAATCCGCTCTAAAGCCCGGCGCACTGGTGAGTATTTTGACGCATGCATAATTTTACTTGAGTAAAATTACTCACGTGTGCGCCGGCAATTCAATTTCGCCGCGGCATCGCGCCACAATCCTCTCCCTATGCCTATGTACATAGGGATGGCGCTCGAGTCGCTGGTCGCGTTGTCTGCCAAGATATTTTTTTCGCACAAACTTACGCGCTCAATATAGGCAGGGATATATGCCCGGGAGAGATGTGCATGGTAAAACCCGTTCTATTTGTTTCTACCTTGGCATGCAAATCACACGGTACACAATACGGTAACGTAGCCACATTGTTTCCGGAAGGCACCGCTGGCACCTTCCGTGCCGCTGGCACCATTCAGGGCTTGTTCCTATTCATAAAGAGATGTCATGTGATAGCCATTTATAATATTAATCTACTCTCAGATATCCCCCACTCCATTTTAATTGTATAACATTGGCAAAATAATATTCCTATCGGCAGATATTGCGGATGCACCGACACATGTCTTGGCCTGCAAAGTAAGTAAAATACAGTAACATAGCCAGATTGTCTCCAGAAGGCATCTGTCGCGAGTACCTCGTATGCTAGGGCTTGCTCTTATGCGTGAACCTAGGTCAGGTGACAGATATTTATCATGTGTATCTACTCTTAGTATATATATATATATATATATATATATATATATATATATATATATATATATATATATATATATATATATATATACATATATACACACACATATATATATATATATATATATATATATATATAAACACATTATTTTGGTAAATACCTATGCTCTCAGGAACCCTTCACAATTTTACGTATGCAAATGTCACGCGCAATACAGCAGCGGACGTTTTCAGCCGCATGAGTCCGATGAGGGCTGAATATAACAGCCGAAAAATATATATTATAAACTGACATTCGAAACGTCATAAGCCGGTCTTGTCCACCAATGCGTGACGAGGTAAGCCACAGGCACTTGGAGCGTTTCAATAAAATATAATGCTAAGTAAATACGAAATCTATTTACTACCAAAGTTTTAATGTTTCTCGACTCTCCTTCACCTATTATTGCCGACAAGCCGTGCTGCAAATGCTCCAGCCACTGCAACACACGCCAACCGCACGCACGCTGCTGCACGCTACTTGCAGTATACTTACACTGTATTGTTTTATACTGCTTTATGTACATAAATATGTACATACTATATGTACTTTATGTACTTTATGTACATATGTACATACTATATGTACTTTATGTACTTTATGTACATATGTACTTACTATATTGTACTTACTATATGTTTACTATATGTACTTTATGTACATATACTATATTTTACACATAAATATAGATATTTATTTATTTATATTTAGTATATACAGCGGCCGCGGTAGTGTTGGTTTGCGCTATATTGTCCGTTATGATGTGATGGCAGTTTCATCCGATGTCCTTATGTACTTACTATATTGTACTTACTATATGTTTACTATATGTACTTTATGTACATATACTATATTTTACACATATATTTAGATATTTATTTATTTATATACTGTATATACAGCGGCCGCGGTAGTGTTGGTTTGCGCTATATTGTCCGTTATGATGTGATGGCAGTTTCATCCGATGTCGTGTGTCAATAGAAGAGGCAGTACAACAAAGGGTAAAACCAATGAAAAGTCAATGGTTGGCCAACACACACACAGTCTCTTACGAAGCAGTTTTATATGGGCTCCACGAGACGTAGGGTGCTCTGTCTGTTTCTGTTTGGCTGGCCTCATTGTCCGTCAGTCCGTCCGTCTGTCCCCCTCTTTCCTCTCTCCTCTGCCTTATCATGCGACCTCGCGGCGAGCAAAAGAAATCCTACCCAGTGGGATAAGAGCATGCGTGAAAGAACGAAGTTGTGTGTGAGAATAAAAAATCTGCGTTAAAAAATCGCGATAGGTGCGCCGGTAACTAACCCAGCAGGTGAGCGCATGCCAATTAATAAAGCAATGCACACACACACAAACACACACACATGCACGCACACACACACGCACGC